CTCATAGATACACACGCGGCTTAGGACCATCCGGACTACCCACATCGCTTGTGCCCCTCGACCAGACGAGGTCCAAATAGAGTACTAAAAACAAAATGATTTTCTTAAACATGAGCACTAATTTTTCTCTTAAACAAATGTAATTACTATCATCCCAGAAGATAATTATCACATTAATGGTTGATAATGAAAAATGTAGGAATTCATTTCAATATTTACTCTTATTTATAGACAGAAATTTTTGAATTAACCACATACTTTTTAGTGTAACTTTCTCTACTTCATTCATCCCATACGATTTAGCCAAGTTTGACAGTACATAAAATAATAAAATAAAAAATGTGTAATTAAGGTTTGAGTAAAGAAAAAAGAAATAATCAAAATCATAAATTAATTGATTAGAAGGGAAAGTGATAATGTTTTTAAGATAATTAAAAAAAGAAAAGAAAATTTTAAGGAATGAAGAATACGTAATATTAAAAAAAGCTACTTATACACAAAATTTGTACATATTTCACACACATTGTACGTAATTGACGTGCACTTTGTCGTGGTGTGCACTCAAAATAATAATACAATACAACACTTATACGTAGTATAGCGTAGTAAGGTTCGTATCCGCAGGGAAAGGAATACTTCTCTTTTTATAACTAGTAATAAGGGGGGTTTTTAGATTTGTTGTTGAAGAACTTTTAAGAATATTAAAACACAAAGATGAACGATTTATGTGGTTTAATTAATGAGAAGAAGACTTGGTTTTGCTTTTATCCACTTAATGAAATGTTTGTCGATCCCGGTTATATCTTTAACTATCTTCCTCTCGAATACTCAATCGAGGAGTATATCCAATTCATCGAGGGTAGTTATTAATAACGAGACGCGTTCATTAATAAAACTTACTACCGAGTTAATATAGAACATGCGCCGTATATTCACTCGATAGTAGCAATAAAATCAAGATGAAAACGATTGATATTGATAACCTCAACACAAGCGGTTTTATTGGTTTAATCAATATAATTAATTCCCCTTGGTTTATTAACCATGAAACGCATGCATTAATAACCCAAGTTTACTACCGTGAAAGGACCGAATTAATAACAAGCGTATTTATCGACCGATTCTAGTAATAATTAATACGTAGTATATGAAACAAAACTAGTTGATCCTTTAAGTAATGTTCAAATATTAATAACGAAATATGAATAGGAATTAATTAATACTCAAGGAAGAATATTAAAGAGGGTGAATCCTACTATAGTTAATATCAAGATGTTAACTAATTGTCATCTTAGTAACACTCCCCAATATTAACTTAGAGGAAGAAATAGCTATTACTATAACTAATGTCAAGATGTTAACTAATTGTTATCTTAGTAACACTCCCCAACATTGATATAGAAAAAGTATTTAAAGGAAGAATTAATATTCTAGGAAGAAGATTAAAGAAGATAACTAACAACTTACAAATTCATTAAGCTTCAAAGTAGCAAAACCAAGATATGGAAGTTTAGCTCCTCATTTGGAGACTAAACATGCTAGAAGAAATATAAAGAAATGATATTCTAAACTGAGCTTAAGAGTATAAAGGAATTGGTATCTATTTATTTTCGATAATATGTAAGTATATTAGAAACCGAAAAAATAGCATTTTACAATGCATCAAATCCAAATGTGAAGGAAGGGGGTGTATTTATAGGCTTTTGGGAGTGTGGCTCGGGTACCCGATCGAGTACAAATAAGGTACCCGATCGGGTATGTGTAAAAACCTTAGTTTCGAGGTATACTCGATCGATTCTGGGGTAAAATAGAAGGTATACCCGATCGGGTATGTATAGGTACCCGATCGAGTATATGTAGAAACCTAAATCCGAACCATACTCGGTCGAAATCAGGGTATGAATTATTGGTATACCCGATCGGGTGTGTCGGTGTACCCGATCGGGTATGACAACTGATCGTGGCCAAATCTTCCCCTGCACGTCCCTTTGTTTCCTGGTTGATCTGATTGAGAATCCAATTGGTACCCGATCGAGTAAGGGGTTATACTCGACCGGGTACAGGTCAAAATCAGGAACTTTCCTTCTTTTTGTCTTGTACTCTTGCACCTTCCTTCACCAATGATCATTAAATTGATCTTGGACCTGTTTGAGCTCAGAATGGAACTAATCTAAACAAATTACAAATATTGCAAAAACATAAATATTACACCAAAAGTGTGTAATTTCCAAAGTATCAAACAACAAAAACTAACTAAAAACTTAACACACACATACAAATGGAAATTACAAGTGTATCACTAATTGTCTGTGCACACAGACAATATGCACACCCCCTAGTTGCAGGGGCGGAGCTAGGGATGGACCAGGCCCGGGTTGACCGGCCCGGCCCGGTACTGTGTAGTACCGGCCCAACCCATCAACCGGGACCGGGTAGACCGACCCGGTGAGGGGGGGTTTCATAAACGTCCTTCCGCCGCTGCCTAATTGCTGTGTACACAGGCAACTTGTACACCATTGTTTGTGTGCACAAACAATTACATACTTTGTATACGTGTGTGCGAAATGTGTGTAAATTTTGCGTACAAGAAAATTTTTAGATACTACCTTTGTCCCGTTCAAAGGTTCTCATTACAAATGACACAATTATTTAGATAATAATTAGATGTGGTAATTCAAATATATTTTGAGAAAAATAGTTCTGATGGTTATAAAATATAATTGAGTAAATGATGATACTTGTGGTGCTATAGATGTACTATTTTTAATACTTTATGAATAAATTATCATTTAAGAGTATTAATTGTTTGCTAATATAGAAATGAGAACTTTTAAATGGTATGTCCAAAAAGAAAAGTGAAAACCTTTTAATTAAGACAAATGAAGTACTCCCTCCGTCTTATTGGACATTATCAACTTTTTTTTTGTCCTAAAAAACTTTAGAACTTTCCTATTAAAACACTAATTCGTGGTTCTGCTCAATTCTCTCTTCTCTGCACAAACATCAACAAATTAGTTTTTACTTTTCTTATTTCTCATTTACTTTAATGGAGTTCTTTAAGGGAGTTCTTTAACGGAGTTCGAGGTAGTATTTATTTTAATCTCAAACCATACGACAAACGGACAAAGATTCACCATCATTGGAGAAGATCACAGGGGTCTCCATTCTCCATGGTCCACTAATTAGAACGGAGCCCATCTTTTCCCACTTGACAAAAAGTATGCGTCATGTTTATTTGAGGTCAGGAATTGAAGATGAATTAGTGGACGTGCAAAATGATGGAGAAAGACCCTCTCACGATGGTTGTTCTTACACTTGTAGGTCTCAGAAAAAATTTAGGGATGGTTGAGCATGACATAAGAGATGACTACGCTATACATACAGCTCGGTCAAATGGATTTTAAAAGACCACAAAGGTTCAAAAATCAATGGGAAAGCTATTCGGATAGCCTTCAATGCCGCAGTTTATTACCTGTGGCACGCTAGGAATTCAAACCGATTTGATGAGGCGGACGTCAAGGAAGAGGAGGTCATCACAAGAATTAAGCATGTGGTATATAAGATACTATTCATTATATACCCACATGACTTGATCACATTTTGATATGAAGGCCATGACATGGACATTATGGATGCTGTGGTTTGATGGACAAAATGCTTCATGGATTATGGTGTGCCGTGGCATGGACATATTGGATATCATGGCTTGGGCACATGTGACACCGCGGCATGGGCATCGTGGATGCCGCGGCATGAGACAGAGTCTTGGACTGGGGTGTTTGCTATTGTAACACCTTTGTATTTTGTTAACCTTTGAACTGTTTTTTTTTGCTCTAGTTACTTGCTAAGGCAGCACTGATGTATATTTTGATTTTGATTGGACAAGTATTTATACTTGGTCCCTTTGGAGTAGATTAGATCGAGGAAAAACCTCCTCTCACCCTCACACTATGTGGGGTGGGGTGGGGGGTTAGGAGATCTAGGATATTTGATGTATAGTATTTCTGGGTGTTAATATATATTTACATTTCATCCAAAAAAAATGACACCGGCCTGAGGAGACCTTATGCGGTGTGGAAAATGATATATGGTCCACATAATTGCCAATTTGCCACTTCTCCGGAGCTTTAATTGTTTTGAATGTTTTGTTTCAAACTTCAAATTAACATTGCCAACAGTTACCAGTTTTTCGACGTTTATCAGCCAATTTTTTCATCAAACACGTAAGTTTTGATTTTCGCGTGCTGAATTGTTTAATACTCCGTAATAAAAAAAAGGTAAGGTTGAAGTTACTTTTCTGACTGTATTGGTTGGTATTATTGTAGAACATCATTTAGCGATTTTTTCATATAGTTTTTTCTTTATTTAATTAATAAATATATTTTAAATATAATTTTTTCATAAATCTGCAGAATCAACCAATCCAGCCACTTCAGCTAGAACTTCATAAGTTTCAGCAGAATCAGCCAATGCAGCCGATTTAGTTATTACCAAACGGGCTCTACACATTTTATCCACTATTCTAAAAATTGTGAAGTGTGGCAAGATGTTGAAATCAAGTCTCAACAGTCATGTCTTTCAAGCTCGGACGAGAATGGACGAAGTCTATGCATGGAAAGACCGTTTTAGATTTTTCTATTGATAACTGATACGTAGTACTACAACTGATTATACTTAGGGGTGTAATTTATACAAGATTGAGTGTAATTTGTACTTAGGGGTGTTTGGATCTGATTCCTAAAACTGATTCTGCTCCTTCAGGGAGCAAAAGCAGAAATTAGAGTGTTTGGGTGAAAGTGCAGAAATGATTATGGTGCTCTAATTTACTCCTAGAATCAATTTTTTTTAAAGTTAGAGGAGACCAGCTTCTGAAAACTGATTTCTGATTCTGCTTCTGCTTTAAAAAAGAAGCTGTCACGCCCCGGACCTACCGGACACGTCAACAACCCGCCGTACAGTACGAATAGTCAACCGCAGTCCAACTCATCCATACTATACTAGGCGTCTTGAATACCATTCACACATAGTACATCCATAAACAATCATAACGTAAAATATTTAATTAAGCAGCGGAAACATAATTACAAATATTCAAGCCACACGTGGCAACCACGGGCATACAAGCCCCCAAATAAATATTCGAAATAATATCCATGAGCATTATTTAAATTGTTTTCAAAACAGAAACAGGAGAAGTACGAACCCCGCCTTCCTCCTTGAATTCCCCGAAGCAACGAGCGGTAGTAGCAAGCTCTACTCCCTACCTGAAACTGTGAGGTGGCCTCCCCCGTGAAGGGGAGGTCAGTACTTGGAAGCATTTGACAAGTACAATGACAACTATACTAAGTATAATCAAAGTTTCAATTTCCAAGACCCTCAATCCAAGATGTTATTCATTTGTACTTAACTCATGTTCCTTCATGCTAGAGCTCGGCTCATAGTCATGCTAAATTGTGCTAGAGCTCGGCTCATAGTCACACTACATTTGCTAGAGCTCGGCTCATAGTCATACTAAATTGTGCTAGAGCTCGGCTCATAGTCACCCTACGTTTGCTAGAGCTCGGCTCATAGTCATACTAATTTGTGCTAGAGCTCGGCTCATAGTCACCCTACGTTTGCTAGAGCTCGGCTCATAGTCATGCTACCACGTGCTAGAGCTCGGCTCATAGTCACGTCAACTAATCCCTAAACCACTTCTTAGTCTAGGTTCCATCCATTTTGAGTAACCCTTAAGGCCTACTCCAAATGTAACTTAAGTTCATAATAATTTGAATATCTCAATTAAATTCCACATTCAAGTATAACTTGGCTCTAATATCAAAATATCACTTTTATCCTTCCATGACTTCCTTACATGAGGTAAAAGTATATTTATCACAATTTAGTTTATAGTTTACACAACTATTATACCATTGTATTCATAACACATAATCATACACGATTTATTCATAAATTTGCATATTATGCATTTTTGCTTATGAACAATAAAAATCTCATTTAGGCATTTTATTATTATAAATACATCATGCCAAACACATATAATTCATTTAGGTAATCTTATGAAATTAACCCAATAATTATAAACAATATAGTCGGTCATCCTCACCTTAAGTGAGCTTAAGCGTGTTCTACGCTCCGCGGTTGAACTTTGACTAATTCCGGTGAACTTTGACCAACTCCGGCCAACTTTGACCAACTCCGGCGAAACTCCGGCGAAGCTCAAAGATACTTTATATCAAGTTCCTAACAAGGTCTTAACATCATAAAACCTTAATCAATACAATTAACCTATAAAAGGTTATTTTCCGGTGAACTTGTCGGTTTGGCCCCTAGGTCCGTTTTTGGACATAGAACCACCTTCCAACCCATCATTCTACACTTAAGCCATGTAGAACATGTTGGAGGAAATTCGGTCGGATATCCCTGCAAAAATAACGTTAGAAAATAATATAGCTCGAGTCGCGTAAACGTTGTCCTCAAGAAAGTATTTCCGACTAGCGAAAATCTTTCCCCAAGATAAAACGAGCTCTTCGGCGTAAGCCGGAAACAGAACAACGAGAGTAGAAATAAAATTAATCCAGCAGAGTGAAAATATTAGGGGATGTTCTTCTCAAAATAATCTTCTCCTCCTACACTAGCAGGTCTGGCCGATGAAGTTTTAAAGGACAAGGAAAAATTTTTATCCTACATTCCTTAGCACAAACATGCATACTTATAAAGCCATCTGAAAGAAAAAGTTGAACGTTGCTCTATTATTACTATTAAATAATATAATCAAAACCACAGCTCATGCAACCGTTTTGATAGAATTGAAGCTCAATAGAAAGTGTCATTAATGCATACTTTAATGTTTATTAATAATCAACAAACCATCAAAAGTTGCAACGTGCAAAACAAAACGTTCAAAAAACTTGTATTCATTATAGTTATAATAATAATTTTATAATGTATAAGATGTATAACATTTGTTAATAAATCAATATGTAAACAATTAAGATAAATAATATTTTATTCATTTGAAATACTCCTATTTTTCCAACAATCCCCCACATATTTCAAATGAATATTTTTAGATGTTAAAAGTAGTTTAGAAAATATCTGCTGGATTAAAGGAATGAGACTTTAAGTTTGGTGTCCGTAGACTTGAAACCAAACCGAGACGATTAAGTCTTAATAAACCGAGCTTATGGTGAAACCTATAGTTTCTTGAAACCAACAAGCTACTATTGGTAAATCAGGGTCTTAACGGTCGTGTCTCACCCTGCACAATTTCTCGTTATTACGCCGTTGTGCGCCGTAAGGCCATGCGCGTGCTTGGTTTTCATGAGTGCTCTAGAAGTTTTGTCATGCTTCATGGAGGCGGCCCCACCTCACACTCATATAGGTGATATCATCAAGTGTGTACCGCTTTTGCACACCACCCTAAAAGTAAGGGCTATGATAATAATTAAGAGCTTTTAGTTCATCCTCTCAAAGTATGCGGTTTCTAGCCTATATCTCACATCATGGAAATGGGCAATTTTAGTTAGGCTAGCAGAACTAAATGGAAGACTTGTTATTACCCATTTGAACTTGCTTCATGGGATCTCCAATCACACAAGTTGGGTTCCCATCCCCATTTGTTTCAAGTGACACTAGTCCCATTTCCTTCGATGTTTCAGTTATAATTTTTCGTCCTAGGGATTCTGTCAAAGGAGTAGCTAATTCCTTCTGACTTCACAAAATTAATGGAAATTATTCCATTCTCAAACATCATTGCACCGCTTTTAAGAGTGAATGGATATCCACAATTTTAATTTGTCTCATGCGAGTCGACTCAGATGGCGTCGTTGTATTCCGGAAATACAACGGATAACCCTCAATAAAATATAACATCGATGTGATCCTCTAGCACATCGGATAATTCTCAATCAAATAAATATCATCATTGTATCATTATAGTACAATGAATAATTCTCATATAACATCATTGTACTACTCTAGTACAATGGATAATTCTCAATAAAACATATATCATCGTTGTATCAATATTTTACTAACGGATAATTTCAATCAAATATATCATCATTGATGGTACCTCTCAAATATCTCAATAACCGTCTCAACGCAGTCCAATGCTCCTTATCAGCAAAAGCTATTTTGAGCCTCAAGATCACCTCTATTTTTTTTAAGTACATATGAGAGTCATAAGGGATACTCAATCACGGAATGACATTGAAATGTCCAACCCTCTTTAGTAGTTTTACAGCATGATGCTTTTGAGATGTAGTATAATACCATCATCATATCCTTCCTTATGGCTTTCATACCCAAAATCACATATTATCCACATATAAACAAATAATAATGCACACGTACCTTTTCACATTTAGTGCAAACACACTTATCTACTTCTGCTGAGGTAAAATCTTGAATAAATAACACTACGTCAAATTTTCCATTCCATTGTTTTGGAGCATGTTTCAATTCATATAAAAATTTGATCAACTTGCACACTTTGTGTTCCTGATCAGTGACCACATGACCCCCCCAGTTGCACCATATATATTTCTTACTCTAGCTCTCCATTTAAAAACACAATTTTAACATCCACTTGATGAAAAATATTGTGAATAGAGTCGATTTCAAGCTTATATGGCCCCAAGAAAAAAAAGTTTTTTTTTTAAATAGTTTCTGAATAAAAAGAATAATTAAAAAACATTTCCAGAAGATTTCTCTATCTTTGGCTTCTTACTTCTTCTTAAAGAGAATATTCGTCATTAAAAGAATAATTTTCTTTTAATGGATCACTACCACTAGAGGGTTCATCATTAAAGGTTTTATTTCCTTGTAATGGGTTATACTCACTATATGGTGCAACGGTCTTGTGCTCAAATTTCAAAGGACACACATTTTTTTTTTTCAAAAATTCAGCATTTTTGTTTCAACAACGTATAATATAAATAAATAATCATACATGCATCATTTAGTGTGTACACATTCTCCAAAAACTAATACATTAATATCAGCAATGACATAGCTTAAATTATTGCACATTAGCACACTATTTCTTCAATTTATGAAAATCACATATGTGCTCCATTTTTTTTTTTATTTATGCAAAAGTAGCCAAGAATTATAAAGCTCGTTTTCACTCAATGAGATAGGTAATAAAAATATAGCTAAGCTCCCCCACAATTTTAAATATTTTAAAACAGGTGCATAGCCCTTCTAGAATTCATAGAGAGATAATTTACATCTCAACCTTTATTTGTACACAATGATTTTATCAAATAAAAACTCTCCTTTTAAATAAAATAAGATAAAATTTAGTTTATCTCGAAAAATCACCAATAAATGTGACAACTACTTTTACCACCTCTAAACACAGCGTAGATGCTCTAATAAAATTTATATAAATAATTCATCAAAATATCACAATTTTCTAGAGGTACTCACATATCACTAAATATTAATCTTACGATATTTAGGAGTTTCATAAATCAAATAAAAAATGCTGCCATGTAAAACGCCGAATCTATTATATCACATAACACAATAATCAACCAACCGAAAGTACACAGAAGCATTATCATGCAATATTTCAGAAATGCCAAGTATATAAAGTCTTTTCTTACAATAGCCATTTCCCACAAGAACATCATTTTTGGTCATAACAAAATTATCACAACCAAAAGAAACTTTAACCCCAACTTTTCCCAAGAGATAAACAGAAAATAAATTAGTCCGAATCTCGGGCACATGAAGCACATCATTTAGTGATAAAGTTTTCCCCGATGTGAGTTTAAGAAGAACTTTCCCTTTTCCATGCACCTTAACGGTTTTAGTGTCCGCTAGGTACACGAGCTCTTCGCCATCTCCTATAATGGTATAGGAGGTAAAAGCATTTTTGTTTTTACAAATATGCTTGGTAGCCCCGGAGTCTACCACCCACTCATTCACATCATTAGTTTTACAACTTTGAGAAACAACCGCAATAAAATTATCATCACTACTAACCAAGTTTAAACTTGATTTTAGTGGGTTGTTGTTTTTCATAGTTGTCATTTTACCACTAAATAAATGAATAATATTTTTCTCAAAAGTTGGTGTTAAAGTATGGCTTATTGTAAGTAGGAAAGTAAAAAGAGTAAGCATTATACGTAGAGATATATCCAAATACCAGTCTAAATCACACCACACATGCAAGAATAACATGGCCGTGATGAGTGCAGCGACAACGCCTTGTGAGATCACACGTGCAGACATATCCGACGCCAAATACTTTCTTGAGATTGTTGGAGGAAATTCGGTCGGATATCCCTGCAAAAATAACGTTAGAAAATAATATAGCTCGAGTCGCGTAAACGTTGTCCTCAAGAAAGTATTTCCGACTAGCGAAAATCTTTCCCCAAGATAAAACGAGCTCTTCGGCGTAAGCCGGAAACAAAACAACGAGAGTAGAAATAAAATTAATCCAGCAGAGTGAAAATATTAGGGGATGTTCTTCTCAAAATAATCTTCTCCTCCTACACTAGCAGGTCTGGCCGATGAAGTTTTAAAGGACAAGGAAAAATTTTTATCCTACATTCCTTAGCACAAACATGCATACTTATAAAGCCATCTGAAAGAAAAAGTTGAACGTTGCTCTATTATTACTATTAAATAATATAATCAAAACCACAGCTCATGCAACCGTTTTGATAGAATTGAAGCTCAATAGAAAGTGTCATTAATGCATACTTTAATGTTTATTAATAATCAACAAACCATCAAAAGTTGCAACATGCAAAACAAAACGTTCAAAAAACTTGTATTCATTATAGTTATAATAATAATTTTATAATGTATAAGATGTATAACATTTGTTAATAAATCAATATGTAAACAATTAAGATAAATAATATTTTATTCATTTGAAATACTCCTATTTTTCCAACAGAACAATCCTCAAGGTTCCTCATATGATATATATCTCATATGGTAGAAGAAAAATAAAGGAAAAACTAATATGAGGTTATTACCTTAATCCTTCACACTTTCTCCCAACTTTTCCCTTCTTAAAACCCTTCCTTTGGACTCCTTAAGCTTGAGTTCAGTTATTGGCTATGGAGGATGAGGTTGCAAGAGCTATCCTTCTCTCTTGGGTCTCTTTGGCCGAAATAATGGGGGAGGGTGAGTGAGGGGATAGCCTATTTGGCTTTTCTCTCAAAATAATGTGTAAATGGGCCCCCTCATGGTACCTTGATAGCTTCCTCCCACCTCCCTCTTGTCTCACAGCTCAAGTGTGACACAAATCAGCCCCCTTTGGCTGCCAAATTCGTGGGTTGGCCCCCACCCAAGTGGGAGGTCAACCCTTGTTGTCCAGAAGTGTACAATTGGTCCCGAAAGTTGTATTTTTCGGACTGTTTTAAATATATTTTATTTTATCGGGTCAAATAAAATATATTATGTGTTCTCAACCATTACGACCCTTATAGTGAATATACATTCCCCAACTTTAATTTATAAGTCCCCGAAATTCAATTTCGGGCTTCTATCGGTTAAATTGCCAATACCGGTATTTGAGCCCCTTTTGACCAATCGGCCAACTCCGGACCTTTCCATGGCTCAAATGAGTTATCCAACACCATATAAATATTATCTAGACCAAGATGAATAATTTATGTGGTCCCGGGAATATCGGGCGGCCCCCGCTCCCGGTGCGGGCCCCACGTGCGGATTTACTATTCGTGCGAAAGAACTAATAAAAATTCACAACTTCGAATACTCGTTAACCATTTCATAAGGTTCAATACAATATACTCTTAAAAGTAAATACATTTGGGGACGGTGCTACAAGTTCACCCCCCCTTATTTGGGATTTCGTCCCCGAAATCCACGTGTCTAATCGAAGAGAAAAGGGTATTGCTCCCTCATTGAGACCTCGGTCTCCCATGTTTCTTCCTCGACTCGATCACTCCTCCAAAGGACTTTCACCATAGGAATCTCCCTGTTTCTCAATTTCTTCACTTGTTGTCCCACAATTTTCACTGGTTCTACCGCATATTGTAGATCTTCGCGTATCTCTACCGGTGGCTTCTCAAGAATATGAGATGGATCTCTCACGTATTTCTTGAGCATCGATACGTGAAACACGTCGTGTATCTTCTCAAGTTCTGGCGTCAACTTCAGACGGTATGCCACGGCCCCTATCCTTTCAAGAATTTCAAATGGGCCAATGTATCGGGGGTTGAGTTTTCCCCTCGATATAAATCGGATGATACCCTTCCAAGGAGAAATCCTTAGGAAGACCTTATCACCAACCTCGAACTCCAATGGCCTTCGTCGTTTGTCGGCATAGCTCTTCTGCCGATCTTGGGCAGCCTTGAGTCTATCCTGAATGACTTTCACCTTAGCCTTGGTGATTTCAACAAGTTCAATTCCCTCGAGCTTGGCCTCGCCAACCTCATCCCAACATAACGGTGTTCTGCACTTCCTCCCATACAATGCCTCGTATGGAGGCATGCCAATACTCGCCTGATAACTGTTGTTATAGGCGAACTCGACTAGAGCCAAATGTTTGTCCCAACTTCCTTGGAACTCCAGAGCACACGCCCTAAGCATGTCCTCCAATATCTGTATCACTCGCTCGGATTGTCCATCCGTCTGTGGATGAAAAGCCGTGCTGAACTTCAATCTAGTACCCAAAGATGCTTGAAACTTGGGCCAAAATCGAGATGTGAATCGTGGATCCCTATCCGAGACAATGGATATCGGGACTCCATGTAGTCTCACAATCTCCTCCGTGTATAGCTTTGCCAACCTTTCAAGAGGGTAAGTGATGTTAATAGGCAAAAAGTGTGCACTCTTGGTGAGCCTATCAACTACTACCCATACCGCATCATAGTTGTTCACGGTCCGCGGCAACCCCACCACGAAATCCATAGTCACATGCTCCCATTTCCATTCTGGAATGGAAAGTGGCTGTAATAACCCAGCTGGATGCTGATGTTCTGCCTTAACTTGTTGACAAGTAAGGCATCGACTGATGTACTCGGCTATCTCTCTCTTCATACCGGACCACCAGTAACTTTCCTTCAAATCACGATACATCTTCGTGCCCCCCGAGTGCATGGCATAAGCCGATGAATGAGCTTCCTCTAAGATGGACTTTCGGAGCTCATCATCTGCCGGCACACACACTCGGTCACGAAATAATAAAAGACCGTCATCTCTTTCCCTGAAGTCCTCCACCGATCCCGCTTGCATGCGTTCCCGGATCTTCATGATTTCCTCGTCAGTTTCCTGACCCTTCTTGATCTCATCAAGCAAGGTAGGTCTCACCTCAAACCGTGCCAATAAGGCACCATTACTGGACACCTCCAGTTGGGCTCTTAATGCCCTCAAATTAGCTATCAATGCCCCAGATGAGCTCTTCCGGCTCAAAGCATCTGCCACCACATTTGCCTTGCCTGGATGGTACTCAATCACTAGATGGTAGTCCTTTATCAACTCCATCCACCGTCTCTGCCTCATGTTTAACTCTTTCTGAGTAAACACGTACTTCAAGCTCTTATGGTCAGTGTATATGTGACATGTCTCTCCGTAGAGATAATGTCTCCAAATCTTCAGTGCGAACACCACTGCCCCGAGCTCTAAATCATGAGTAGGATAATTTACCTCATGCTTCTTCAACTGTCGTGAAGCATAGGCGATTACCCTCCCCTCTTGCATTAACACACATCCAAGCCCTTGGATGCTCGCGTCACTATAGACATCGTACCCCATACCCTGTTTGGGTAATGCAAGTACCGGTGCCTCAGTCAATTTCTTCTTCAGTTCAGTGAATCCTTCCTCACATTTTTCATCCCATACAAACTTAGCTCCTTTTCGAGTGAGCTTCGTCAGCGGTGATGCCAAAACAGAGAACTTCTCCACGAACTTTCTATAGTATCCAGCCAATCCAAGGAAACTACGAATTTCCTTGACGTTTTTTGGCCTCTCCCATTCGGTGATGGCTTCTATCTTCTTGTTATCAACAGCAATTCCCGATCCCGAAACCACATGCCCGAGAAAACCAATCTCCTTAAGCCAAAATTCACATTTAGAAAATTTAGCATAGAGTTGCTTCTCCCGTAGTGTCTCAAGAACGAGTGTCAAGTGCTCCTTATGCTCTTCCTCACTCTTTGAGTAGATCAAGATGTCATCAATGAACACAATCACGAATCGGTCCAAGTATTTGTGAAATACTCGGTTCATCAAGTCCATGAATGCCGCCGGGGCGTTTGTTAACCCAAACGACATAACAAGGAACTCAAAATGCCCATACCTCGTGCGGAAAGCACTCTTCGGTATGTCATCCTCCTTAATCTTCAATTGATGGTACCCCGACCTCAAGTCAATCTTTGAAAACACGGTTGCTCCTCGTAGTTGATCAAACAAGTCATCAATCCTAGGCAAGGGATACCTATTCTTGATTGTGACCTTGTTCAGTTGACGATAGTCAATGCACATTCGAAGTGTTCCATCCTTCTTTTTCACAAAAAGGACTGGTGCTCCCCACGGGGAGTGGCTTGGTCTGATGAAACCGTTATCCAAAAGCTCTTGCAATTGGGTTTTTAACTCGTTAAGTTCAGCGGGTGCCATACGGTATGGCGGTATGGAGATTGGTTTGGTGCCGGGCTCGACTTCGATCACGAACTCAATCTCCCTATCGGGTGGAAGTCCCGGTAAGTCTTTTGGAAAGACGTCCCGATACTTGCATACTACCCTAACATCATCAATGCTCGTCTCTTCTTTGGTTTTGTCCACCACATACGCTAGATATGCGTGACATCCTTCCTCATCATATTCTTAGCCCTCACAGCGGATATGATACAACTATTGGATTTTGCCCTATCCCCCTCGAAGCGTAGGGTCACCCCTTCATTGCCTTCGAGTTCAAGTACTTTCGTGTAACAATCGACCCTAGCATGATGCTTCTCAAGCCAATCCATCCCCAGGATTGCATCGAACTCAATCATACTCAGCGGCACGAAATCACACGACAAGTTTTGGCCCTCCACTTCCACCTCACACGATGGATAGTGGCTATCTCTCTCGATGTCTTCCCCTAGGGGTGTGGATACCAATAGGGATTGAGTCATCGGTACCAGGGGTACGTTGAATCCCCCGGCGAATGCCTCACTCACAAATGATCGTTGCGCCCCGGTATCGATGAGGATTCTCGCACATCTCCCATTAATCTTTAGTGTTCCTACATTTATAAGCCATGTAAGATACCTCTCTAACATACCGACCAATCCTACGAAGAACATAATGCGAAATTATGTCCTTAAAGTGGGCAAAGTCCCCCAATTATGGTTAACGTTCGCAGTTGAGATATAAATTGACACTGTCTCACCGTTTTGATCATATCTCTTCACATACTTAACCAAATCGTTCGATTCAAATTCCATCATTTAGACAATGAAAATATCTACAACTTTCATGAAGACAACTTTTTCATTTGACGAACACTTCGAGGTGTACCCGGTCGGGTAACATACTATACCCGGTCGGGTATAGGTTCCAGTGGGTTCGGGCAGAATTTTTTTGACAAACCCGGTCGGGTATAACACCATACCCGGTCGGGTATGTGTTCCAGTGGGTGTCGGGAAGAAATTTTTGACAAACCCGGTCGGGTATACCACCATACCCGGTCGGGTATGTGTTCCAGTGGGTGTCGGGAAGAAATTTTTGACAAACCCGGTCGGGTATACCACCATACCCGGTCGGGTATGTGTTCCAGTGGACTTATGAGTGCAAAAACTTGTCCTACCCGGTCGGGTTCATTACCAAACCCGATCGGGTATGCGATCCAGAAGGTTTACGAGGGCAAAAACTTGTCCTACCCGGTCGGGTTTATTGCCCTACCCGGTCGGGTAGTAGCATGGTTTTGCTCTCCTTTCCCATTTCAATCTTACGTCCGCTCCCGCCTGGATTCTAGGATTTATAACTTCAATTTATGGATGAGGAATGGGTAAAATACGGGAAGTTAAGCGGTCATACCTGCAACCGAATCTGGGTTAGCTCGGGCATCCGCCTCCGTCATTGCGTAGACCCTTGCTTGGGTCCTTCCTTGGTTAACGGACGGCGCATTGCTCGTGCTTGCTCCCCCTTGGCCCGTACTAGCATGAGGTGCTCCGGTTCGGCTCCTACTTGCCGTAGTAGCGCCGCTTGATCCCGCTCCTCGGTTCCTACCAAGTTGAGGGCAATTTGGCTTAATATGCCCCGTGTCCCCACATTGGTAACACCGTGGTGGATCGCGACACTTACCGGCGTGGCTCCGGTTGCAATTTCTGCACCTGGGCGCCGTTGAGGCTTGTGAGCCCGAGTTGTGCCCGCCGAAGGCCGAGTTTCCCTTGGATGGCGGTGCCGGCGCTCTGAACGATCCCCCTCCCCCGTGGTTCCCCTTTTTGTTAGAACCTTGGGGGCCATGGTTCTCCCATTTCCTCTTCTTCGCCTCTTCGGCGTTCCTTCGCTTTCTTTCCTCCCACTCTTTTTCTCCCTTCAAGCCTTGTTCAACCACTTGACTAAACGTCATATTAGGCAATTGTGTTGCCCTCTCGCGTATGTCAAGGTCTAAGGCATCCCAGAAATGGTTCACCATCCGGTTTTCGTCACAAATGTACTCCGGTATGAACTCAGCAAGTTTCCTGAACTTGTGCTCAAGTTCCTTCACCGTGCATTCCCCTCCTTGGGTCAAATTCGTGTACTCCCTCCTCTTCAAGTTCACCTCGAAGTCGGAGTAGTATTGGCTAAAGAATTCTTGCCTAAAGTTCTCCCAAGTGACGGCCTCGCCGTACTTCCCTTTGACTCCGTCCCACCACGTGGACGCCATGCCTTCTAGCAATCTTGTTGCCACTCTCATCTTCATGTGGGGTGGCAGTTGCATGTCAAGGGCCGCTTCATTGAATCTCTTGATCCACTCGGCCGCCACAGAGATGTCTCCCGTTCCATCAAACGGTTTACATCCCAAGTCTCTCGCCTCCTTTAGGTACTTTGAGATTCTTATGATAGGAACCTCAGCACCTCGACCTCCTCGGAGTTCAATGCTCTCCCTAGGAGTCGCACGGCTTCCTCTCCTCGAAGCCCCTTCCAAAGCACGCCTTGCCCGGCGCCTTTGGCGATCTTGTTGGTATTGCCGGAGCAATTCCTCAATCCGTTCAAGAGCGTTATTATCATCACTCTCATCACTAGCATCGTCGTGTTCCCCATCATATGGGGTCTCAACCGGCTCAGTTCCCGGTTGGTAAGTTGAATCCTCCTCGGACTCATAGTGTTCATCTATTGTTTCCACGTGACCGTCACTCACGGTCAGCGAGTGGCCTGCACGGCCCTGTCCCCTAGACTCTCTTGATCCCCCCCGACTGCCACGTTGGGATCCTCCCAGTGCCTGGCCAGTCGGGTTCCGTCGAGTAATTCTACCGGTACGTTCCATTTCTGAAAGAAGTTTAGAATGAGCCATTAGACTCGTATCAAATGTCAAGTGACGGATAGGTACTTAAAGACATCTTTTGGCTCAAATCACCGTCATACCAATTGTTAAGGGTACCATCTTAACAATTAGAGACCTTGCAACTCAAGTACCAAAAGTTCTATAAGTACAAAACTTTATGCTCATGGGTTTCAAATTCGTTTTTCAAAAAGAGATTTTGAAGCTTCATTATGAAGTTTACGGACTAAGGCTCTGATACCAATTAAATTGTCACGCCCCGGACCTACCGGACACGTCAACAACCCGCCGTACAGTACGAATAGTCAACCGCAGTCCAACTCATCCATACTATACTAGGCGTCTTGAATACCATTCACACATAGTACATCCATAAACAATCATAACGTAAAATATTTAATTAAGCAGCGGAAACATAATTACAAATATTCAAGCCACACGTGGCAACCACGGGCATACAAGCCCCCAAATAAATATTCGAAATAATATCCACGAGCATTATTTAAATTGTTTTCAAAACAGAAACAGGAGAAGTACGAACCCCGCCTTCCTCCTTGAATTCCCCGAAGCAACGAGCGGTAGTAGCAAGCTCTACTCCCTACCTGAAACTGTGAGGTGGCCTCCCCCGTGAAGGGGAGGTCAGTACTTGGAAGCATTTGACAAGTACAATGACAACTATACTAAGTATAATCAAAGTTTCAATTTCCAAGACCCTCAATCCAAGATGTTATTCATTTGTACTTAACTCATGTTCCTTCATGCTAGAGCTCGGCTCATAGTCATGCTAAATTGTGCTAGAGCTCGGCTCATAGTCACACTACATTTGCTAGAGCTCGGCTCATAGTCATACTAAATTGTGCTAGAGCTCGGCTCATAGTCACCCTACGTTTGCTAGAGCTCGGCTCATAGTCATACTAATTTGTGCTAGAGCTCGGCTCATAGTCACCCTACGTTTGCTAGAGCTCGGCTCATAGTCATGCTACCACGTGCTAGAGCTCGGCTCATAGTCACGTCAACTAATCCCTAAACCACTTCTTAGTCTAGGTTCCATCCATTTTGAGTAACCCTTAAGGCCTACTCCAAATGTAACTTAAGTTCATAATAATTTGAATATCTCAATTAAATTCCACATTCAAGTATAACTTGGCTCTAATATCAAAATATCACTTTTATCCTTCCATGACTTCCTTACATGAGGTAAAAGTATATTTATCACAATTTAGTTTATAGTTTACACAACTATTATACCATTGTATTCATAACACATAATCATACACGATTTATTCATAAATTTGCATATTATGCATTTTTGCTTATGAACAATAAAAATCTCATTTAGGCATTTTATTATTATAAATACATCATGCCAAACACATATAATTCATTTAGGTAATCTTATGAAATTAACCCAATAATTATAAACAATATAGTCGGTCATCCTCACCTTAAGTGAGCTTAAGCGTGTTCTACGCTCCGCGGTTGAACTTTGACTAATTCCGGTGAACTTTGACCAACTCCGGCCAACTTTGACCAACTCCGGCGAAACTCCGGCGAAGCTCAAAGATACTTTATATCAAGTTCCTAACAAGGTCTTAACATCATAAAACCTTAATCAATACAATTAACCTATAAAAGGTTATTTTCCGGTGAACTTGTCGGTTTGGCCCCTAGGTCCGTTTTTGGACATAGAACCACCTTCCAACCCATCATTCTACACTTAAGCCATGTAGAACAATCCTCAAGGTTCCTCATATGATATATATCTCATATGGTAGAAGAAAAATAAAGGAAAAACTAATATGAGGTTATTACCTTAATCCTTCACACTTTCTCCCAACTTTTCCCTTCTTAAAACCCTTCCTTTGGACTCCTTAAGCTTGAGTTCAGTTATTGGCTATGGAGGATGAGGTTGCAAGAGCTATCCTTCTCTCTTGGGTCTCTTTGGCCGAAATAATGGGGGAGGGTGAGTGAGGGGATAGCCTATTTGGCTTTTCTCTCAAAATAATGTGTAAATGGGCCCCCTCATGGTACCTTGATAGCTTCCTCCCACCTCCCTCTTGTCTCACAGCTCAAGTGTGACACAAATCAGCCCCCTTTGGCTGCCAAATTCGTGGGTTGGCCCCCACCCAAGTGGGAGGTCAACCCTTGTTGTCCAGAAGTGTACAATTGGTCCCGAAAGTTGTATTTTTCGGACTGTTTTAAATATATTTTATTTTATCGGGTCAAATAAAATATATTATGTGTTCTCAACCATTACGACCCTTATAGTGAATATACATTCCCCAACTTTAATTTATAAGTCCCCGAAATTCAATTTCGGGCTTCTATCGGTTAAATTGCCAATACCGGTATTTGAGCCCCTTTTGACCAATCGGCCAACTCCGGACCTTTCCATGGCTCAAATGAGTTATCCAACACCATATAAATATTATCTAGACCAAGATGAATAATTTATGTGGTCCCGGGAATATCGGGCGGCCCCCGCTCCCGGTGCGGGCCCCACGTGCGGATTTACTATTCGTGCGAAAGAACTAATAAAAATTCACAACTTCGAATACTCGTTAACCATTTCATAAGGTTCAATACAATATACTCTTAAAAGTAAATACATTTGGGGACGGCGCTACAGAAGCAGAAACAGAATCGGTTCCAAACACCCCTTAGTTCAACATATATGATTTTTAATGTATAAATAGCGCAAATAAAAAAGATATATTGTTGTTTTAACTACGCCATATTAAATTCCACATATAACGTGTTTATAAAAAGTACGCCCTCCGTTCTTTAATTCTTGCAACATTGTGATTTTTGCACTATTCACATACCTTACTTTGATCGCGATTTTCTACTAATATCCATAATCAAATAATTACAGATAAAATGTTATTGAATTCCTATTAATGTGAATTTCCAAAATATCAACTTTTTATAATGTTTACTAATACATAATTAAATATAATTACAGTCAAAGTTGTACATTGGTAAACGTGAAGTCAAAGTAGTGTTGCAAGAATTAAAGAACGAAGGATAGTATGTTTTAAAATTTAATCTTTTTTTTTCTTTGCAGAAAATCATTAATCGGAAAAAACTTTTGCATTTTCACGTCTAAGCTTTGGCTTTCATGACTGGACTTACGCCTTTTTGCGTATTTGATGGTCAACCTTTTGTTGACTGTCTTTTCCATGACTTTCTACTTTTCACCGTGTCACGCCTAGACATGTCTAAGCCCCGCTTTTTACCACCTTTTAGAATACGTGTTAAGATCCGGGGTTTCATCCTAAAAGGTCAACCTAATAGGAGTAGCTCATATCTTAATATAGTGTTTAATTCTTTCGGAGACATCCGGTGTGGGACTTTTAACACCCCTCCTAATGACTATACACTTCGTCTGGATCGTGTCGTCATTCATTTTTTTCTATCGGTTCGTCATTTTTTTTATAATTGTGTCGTCATTTTTCATAGGGGCCCCACACCATGAATCATTTTGGCTTTGATACCATGTTAAAATCATGAGTTCCATCCTAAAAGGTCAACCTGATAGGAGGAGTAACTCAGATCTTAATATAGTGTTTAATTCTTTCAGAAACATCCGATGTGGAACTTTTAACAATACGAGTTATATCATACATTTACATTTAGTCTTCTAAAAGGAGCCAGAAAATGCGTCAACGCGTGAGGAATTGAAAATCGCCTCACATAGTAGAAATGATTGGGAAAGGCGGTCGACTAGAAAGTTGACCATCAAAAGATGACAATGTGAAAGTTTTTTTGGATAATTTTTTTCAAAGAAAAATTGATAAAAATTAAAAAAGTTGCTTGTGTAAATAAGTTATTTATGTAGTGCCCGTTTGGTTACACCGAAATCGGTTGAATCTGTTGAAAATTTAAAATTGGTGGAATTCCTACTGAATCGATAGAATTGGTTGAGTCCGCAGAATTATAAGGATAACTAAAATGAATCTCTAAAGTAATTTTCGTCAATTCAGCCAGTTAAGTAATTCTAACCTCACTTATTTTGAATGTTACATAGTTCAATGTGCAAAATCAAAATTTACATATCTGATTAAAAAGTTAGTTGAAAAGGTGAAATTTAGGACTACCAAACAAGCTCTTAATCTAATGTGGAGTATTGAAAAGCAACAACAGAAAGCAAAATATATGTGGTACTATTTCGTATTTGTCCGTTTTATTCATTTTAAAAAAATTATATATTCATTTTTAAAAAAACTTATATATTCATTGAATAAAATAAAAATTACATCTGATATTGTTTTTTAACTCCAGAGGGCGTCTGGGGGGGGGGGGGGGGGGTCCTGGAGTAAACTAGAAAACCCACTCCATTGAGTTTCGAACCCGAGACCTCCCATAAGGGAGAGTGAGTCGGCGACCAGCTGAGCTGAACCATTTCCTCAATTAGATCTGATATTGTATAACATCTTTTGAATATTTACTACTGCCTCTGTTCCTCTAAGATTGAGACAAAGAAGAGTGGTGCGCTTTTAAGAAATGTAGAATTGTATAGTTGATAATGAATTGATCAAGTGAGCATAAAGTTAAAATAAATTAGAGTCACACAAATATTACTAAATATGTTATGATACAAATTTAGTGGGAAGATCGGAAAAGAAAAAATGGGACAATATAGTGGGACGGAGGAAGTATCACTCTTTATACACGAGTCATCATCATCATCATCACCATTACCCTAGTGTCGCAAAGGCACCCACATACGGTGGGGTACGGGGGGGGGGGGGGGGGGGGGGGCGTCAGATGTAATAGACCGACTGTTAGTTCATAATAAAGAAGCGCAGACAGTTTAATGAGTCATTTTGCTTTATTTCATCATATTCCCAAACAAAAAAATAGCGAGTCTTAGACTCCATTGAAAATGATGGAATCACTCTTCATACACCAGTATAGAATACTCCATAGTAATAATGCATCTATGAAAATAACTATTCTCTGTCCCCTATGATTGTACGAATTTTCCTTTGTCATTAATCTCACTAAATTTGTCCGGTACCATATTTGACAATATTTGTTTGATACTATTTCATTTTAACTTTATTTACATTTTATCAACTTAATATCAATCACATAACTATATTTTTTCTAAAAACCACATCGCATCCTCTTGTCTCAATTCTATCTTAAGTAGCCATGGACCCGGGTCGGTGAGTCGGTCTAGTCCCGGTTCCGGCTCGACATCGTCTGGTCCATGCCATTAATATTTAAAATCCGGGCACGGCCCATTTAAACCCGGTTCTAGGTCATTTCCGGATGCCCGGTTTGTACGGTCTCAAACTCGATTCCACTATTTTTTTAATTCTTTTTGTCCGATTTTAAGGTAAAAAAATTAACCAATCGAGACTGAAATCGGGATTGACCTGGTCGATCCCCAAATCGTTGATTGGGATCGGGTGCCCTATATACCCGATCGAGTATTCAATCTTGGCCAAAACCGAGAAACAGATCGAGTTCAATCTCGCACAATGTCAAACCTGCTCCGGAGGTATCCATACCTAGTATGTTTTTACATGGACTGTAATTTACTGGTCTGGTCTGGTCTGGTTTGGTTTCTTTGTATTTTTATAACTGATCTGGTCTGGTCTGGTCTGGTCTCAACTGGTCTGGTCTGGTCTGAACTGGTCTGGTCTGGGACAAATTACATTCCAAGTAAAAACATCCCTAATTTTAAGGATTTCTATTTTGTTCACCCTTTTCATGGAGGGTGAACATCACCCCTCCCTCCAACACATGACACTTGACAAAACTTTTAAATTTTGCAATTGTAAGGGGAGGGAAGGAGCACTGATTAGTGTGTCAAAGAAAAAACGAAAAGTCTTTTTTTTTTTTGAAATATTACCCTTTTTAACACACGTGCTGAATAATCAAAACAATTTAAAGTTGGTGTTGGTCGTTAGTCATGAGTACAATGGCAGATGGCTCGATTCAGAGATTTCCAATTATTGTGAGACTGACCGCAACATAAGTGAAAAAGTACTCGTATTAAAAAAATGTTCCTAACTCGTGCAAAAATGGGGGCAACATCTATACCCTCGGAAGTTCCATTATTTCATGTCGATTTCTGGGTTCAAGTACACGATATTCCAATGACACATATGGATGAGGAAACAGGAAAGAGTTTGGGAAATTTTATTGGAACTTTCGTAGAGTATGATCCTAAGAACAATGAGGGTCTCTGGAAGAAGTATATGCGCATAAGAGTCACATTAGACGTTCGTAATCCCTTGAAGAGGGGGAAAAAAATTAGGCTGGTCAGTGGGGAAATTAAAATGGTTCGTTTTAGATATGAAAGATTGAGCACCTTTTGCTTCTTATGCGGAGTACTGGGCCATTTAGACACCCAATGCGACAAATTATTTCAAATGCAAGAGGACAATGGAGTAAGAGGCTGGAGCATAGAGTTAAGGGCAGACAGAAGGAAGACAGGGGCTTCAGGGGGGTGTCGATGGTTGAGGAATGACACAGGTGGGCAATGGGGAGAACATGTCAAAGGCATAAATCAACAACAGAGTAGTAAGGTTACTGATCAAGCTGCCCAATGCAGTAGTGAAATGCAGACGGAGGATAATGAACTAGCTGCAGAGAGGAAAAGAAAACGACTTGCCGAAGAGTCACAACCAAAAGTTACAGACCGCTCAACTAGTACATCAGGCATCGCTGATAAAAATTTTTTTGGGGTGGGTCCTGGGTCCCAGGCCCACCAGGACCAATGATTATTTTAAGTTGGAACTGCCGGGGATTGGGTCACCCGCGTGCAGTTCCGGCACTTCGAGACCTAGTTCGGCATAATAAGCCAGATGTTATTTTCCTTTGTGAGACTTTATGTTCTTCTAATAAGGTGGATGCAATTCGTAGACTTTTGGGTTTTGAGGCCTATTTTGTAGTGGACAGGGAGGGAAGAAGTGGTGGACTAGCGATTCTTTGGAGATCTTCCAGTCTCATTGAACTAATCAATTTTTCAAAAAATTTTATTAATGTTTTGGTTAAAGAGGAATCTACTCAACC